ATTAACCCATTAAAACCCAAACCCAAACCCAAAAAACCCTAGTTTTCCTTTCTCTTTAAAAGGGGGAGCCACTGTTGCTGCAAACGGCAAAAAAGGTTGCAGACGGCAAAAAAAAAAAGAAAAAGAAAAAGCTGGATTCTTCTCCCAACCAGAACCCCTTTCTCAAAATTTTCCTTCGATCAATAGCTTCCACCTACATCACCGGTCATCACCTGATTCTTCTCCCATCCAGAACCTCCTTTCTCCATTTTCTCCGATCGTGGGATCCCTCCTTCAGATCTGGATCTGCCTTTCTCCAAAATTTCCGCCTTGGGTGTTTTTGTTTCATATTCTGCAATTTCTTGATGTTTGGTGCTTAAACTTGTATGAATTTGCTAAAAGTGAATGATATTTAATGATTCGTTGCTTGTTATCTGCTCTGCCGCTGGCCTACTGTTGAACCGGATCCATCTGCTTTGCTGCCGCTGGCCTGCTGCCGGATCGGATCCATCTGCTTTGCTGGCCTGCTGCCGGACCGGATCCATCTGCTTTGCTGCCGCTAGCCTGCTGCCGGATCGAATCCATCTGCTTTGCTACCGCTAAAGCGATTTGCTGCTGCTACTACAAAGCCATCTGCTGCCATTGCTATTGCTACCGTTCCCCGTGGGGATCGCCATTCCCCGCGGGGAACAGCGACGGGGGGCAAAATCTGCCCCCTGTAAAAAATCCCCGCGGGGATCCCCGTCCCCGTGATTCACAGGGACGGGGATGGGGAAGGGGTCCCCGGCCCCGCGGGGCCCCGTTGACATCCTTAGGACTCACATTTTCCTATACCTTCTTGGCTAAAATCAACATTTAGTCCCTCATTTTATAAAATTAATAGGTTTTAACCTCTAACCTTATAATATAATATTTTTAACCTTTTACTTTATAAAGTTAATAGATTTTAACCCCTCACTTTACAAAATTGATAAGTTTTAACATTTCACCTTATATTATGACATTTTTAACCCTTTATTTGTACAAATTGAAGAAAATAGCTCTTATTTAACATCAAGTTTTAATGTTCTATTAGTTTTGTTAACTGACTATCAGTTCTGTTAGCTGACTATCAGTTTTATTAGCTGATTGTTAGTTCTATTAGTTAACTGTTAGCATCCGTTAACATTTCGTTAATGAAACTAACAAATAAAATTGAATTTAAATTTCATATTTTTTATAATGTAATACTAATAAATGTTAACAGTCAACTAACAAAATGTTATAACATAATGTTAGGTGAGAGTTATTTTCTTTAATTCATATCGTTGATGGGTTAAAAATATCATAATATAAGGTAAATGGTTAAAACCTACCAATTTTATAAGGTGAGGAGTTAAAACTTACCAATTTTATAAGATAAAAAGTTAAAATTGTCATGTTACAAAATGAAGAGCTAAAACCTATAAATTTTATAAAGTGAGGGATTAAATGTTGATTTTTACCTACCTTCTCCACGAGCTTGCACCTTCACCATAATAGAAATTTTGCAAACAGTCCATCCCGTTCGCACTAATAGTTCGAGTGGGTTAGTAATGCGCCGTAAAAATTTTAGTTTCTATTGAGATTTAAGCCTTTTAAGGAGAAATGTAATATTTCTTATTTTTTATTTTTTTTTTTTTTTCCCTTATTCCAAAGAAAAAGAAACAGATTGTCCCACTCAACCCTACAAACAAGAAATTTGCCCCACACAAAA